GACTTCCCAGCATTTGATCTTTTGTCATTTGACTTGTGCCCTTTGGAGATTTTTGCTGTTTAACTGTTATCTATGTGACTTTCATCCCTTTTTACCTTTTGCCTATTTTACTTTTTGCCTTTGACATTCATCTTTTTGGTTTTTTGCCATTTAACTTTTTGTACTTTTGACTTTTCGACTTTTTGAGTATTTTGCATTTGCCGTTTACTTTGTTTGGCTTTTGCCGTTTGACTTCATGTGAATTGACTTTTTTCCCGTTGATTTTTTGGTTTTGACTTTTTGTCCGGTTAACGATAAAACAGACGTTCGGTGTTTATCGGTGGACTGTATGTATGAAAAACTGCGACAAATGCCAGAGTCACGTGATTCTGCGGGCACTTAGCGTGATAATGTTATGAGAGCGGGAGCCAATGGTGCGTGCGCGTTTTCAAGGAAGCGTGCGCTTAGTGACTGTGGGTGGAAGAGACAGCAGACACCATGGGCCAGTGTACACGTCTCGTGCCAGAGAGGCACCAGCCGATAACATGCTGGAATTTGCAGGCATAGACAATAAATGGTGTGCCGTCAGATCCACACAGAAAGTGACATACAGAGGCTCATACATGAAGGCAGATGATAAACCACAAAAAATGCGAACTACGCATTTAGGTGATGAGCCGTGCATTTTTACCCGGCCATGCCTGGAGTTCTTAAGCTTGGCTTGATTTGTGGTAGGTTATTGTGAGCGCAGATGGCCCATCATGCGTCCAATAGTCCATGCACGGTCAAATATCTGAATGACGAGGATGGCTGCATGGCTGAGGTATGACGAATCGTCACGTATATTGTTACACTCTGTGCACTGTTAAACAGCGTGCTACATTTGTTTCGGGTTTTAACTGAAAGAGCCATCTTGAAGATAATTTGGCGCAGTTCACAGCCCTGCCTCTCTGACGACCTAAAACTTTCAGACTTCTGGGCTACAGGCCCGCGAAGATGTGCAGACTTTTTCGCAGAGACTATTTCAAGGTTGCGCAGGCAGCTATGACGCTATACTAATGTCATTCAAATCATGCCATTTCATCGGCTATGCGGCGATCAAGGCCAAGAAAAAAATAATTTCAAGTCGTTCATATGTGGCGTTCATGAGAATGATTTCCAGATATAGAGGCCGTCAATTGGTTCTCAACCAACGTCGTGCAGTGTTCGAGGACGCAATCAAACAATGGCGTATTGAGGAGCACATTTACTAAATAGAGACGTTGTGTTGTCTTCAGAAGTCTTTTACACTTAAAAGCACACCATTAGTTACAAGCGAGCTTATTTAATCATATCTGATACCTGTTCCAATATCTTCAACTGTAGAACATTCGCTTTAAGATGCTTTTGTGGTGTTGATACATCACGTTGATGGTTTGACTGTCAGATGGAGGAAGTTCCTTTTCAGCACCATTCGACTTTGAATGCAACGGCAGGAGAGATGAGATTAGCCAATTGACAACAGCATTGCAAGGATCATTAATATAACGAGTCATGGGAACACGCAGATGTGTGTATTCTGTGGTAGGTCCGGAGCAACATGAGAACATCATTTTTACCGGTCAACTACAGCACTCAAAGCCGTTTCGCACAAACGCGCAGCGAAGCTAGTGTGCAAATTCGGTGAGTTTCGCTTCTTTAAGGTAAAAAATAGCTCACTAATTTCTACACACACACACACACATACACACACACACACACACACACACACACACACACACACACACACACACACACACACACACACACACACACACACACACACACACACACACACACACACACACACACACACACACACACACACATGATTCGCAGAATTAAATGATGTTTGTCGCAATCAAGTGGGGAACGCCGTTCTCCCATTGTGAATACCGCAACCCGCATGCCCAAACGCATGCGTACCTACCTACAAACCACCCCACCTCTGCGTTACACAGCCACCTGCAACTGGGAACACTCATTCTGCTCTCTGATATCTTAGAAAAGGCAGCTTGCAAATAGCTGACGGAACATTTGAACGCGACAGCGGTGCTACATCCATACCAGCATGCATGTAGGCCGCGCCAGTCGACCGAGGATGCCGTGCTTACCCTAGCTGAGCGCCTGGTCACCAACGCGAACGACGGTCTTCTATCGTCGACAACGACGATCGATTTGTCAAAGGCATTTGATCGCGTCGACCACGACGCCCCTCACCAGGCTGTCTTGGTATGGCGATACGGATGTGAGATGGTTTAGGAGCTATTTGGGTGGTCGAAGGCAGGTGGTGCGTGGGGAACGGCTCATTCTCCTCATGTCAAGCGGTGTACCCCAGGGCTCAATCATCGGTCCAATTTTGCTCATTTTGTTCACCAACGATCTTGTTGGTGAAAATGGATACTTGACTTATGGCCGCCTCGTCTCCTACGCTGGCGACACCATGCACGTGGACAGCGTGCCGCCTGACAGACCGGGTTTCGCTGGCCTCAAAACCAGACTGGAGCTTACACGCGTGAGCTTCAGAACTGGTTCAGCGCCAATGCTCCTCGAACGAACAAAACGAAAACAGCTTTTATGCTCGTTGGGTCAAAACAAATTTGAAAAGTCAGCTTACTCAACTTTAAAGTAAACAACTTGCCTGTGCATGCCTCAAGTAGCTTCAAAATGTTCGGCGTCACGGTTGACTCCGGTCTGTCATCAGGCGCCCATGTCTCGAGCATCTTGAAAAAGTGCAATGACATCCTCGTTTCTCTGTACAAGGTCTGTCGTAACTCTTCTTCAGACCTTCTCAAAATCACCTAGGCGTACGTATTCGCTCATATCACGTACTGCCTGTGCGTGTGGGGTGGGGCGAATAAGAGTCAATTACACAAAATTAAAAGCACCATCAACTTTACTGCAAGAGCATTAACCGAGCCCAAAAAACACAATTATATAACTCCGACCTCAAATTCCCTTGCATGGCCGAGGACCGAGGTCGTGGTGGCACACGGTCACGTGATGAAAGCGTTTGGGGCGCAGAAGCGGGCATGCGCGCCTCGAGAGGTCCGCGTGCCTTTCGCCCCACGCGATCGCTGTTTCGAGTCGTGAAACGCGCGTCTCGGACAGATGTAGTTTACACCAGCGCGTACACCGACTGACCACCACACAGAGGGGTTTTCGTATCGAGCCGCAGCAGGCTAGAACCGCCTGCAATCGTCTGTAATGCCGCAGCAGTGAACACGTTTGAGACCGTGATACGTGATGTAATTTGTTACCACTGACTACTGACCACCGGCCATAGTGCATTGATAGGCCTTTTTTAGCTCTTTGACCATTGGTCGTATCATTTTACTATCTGCCTTGTGTGTGCGCCTTTTCATACTGCATCTGCATGATCTGAAACCGGAATAGCCACCATGAGGATGGTTTTCAATATATTAATGCTGATACTGCTACAATGTGCGCCTACGTATCCCCAACTAGCATATCAAAACTTATTTTTAGGTGGCTGAAAATTTTTATGAAAATTGCCTTATTTGAATTTTACTGTAACACCTCATCAATGAACGCTATGGACGGGTGCTCTCGGATTTGGCTTAGCTGTCGGCGGTCGCCACATAACATCTCGGTTTTGGCGGCCTGTAACATCGTCCCATGCTGCAAAAACCGCGTGCACGCTACGTTCAACAGTGATCCAGTGGCTGCGGCATCACCTCTGATCTGCCCCGAGGGCCAGTAACGGCCAGCTGTGCGTCGTCAGCAGACCGAATTATCGTAACACGAAAGCCGTTCATGACGCACGCGATGTGGTTGCTTAAGCTGTTGTACTGGAATGGCCTGAGACAAGACCCTTGGAACGTGCCAATGGTGATACTATTTGGGCCAGACAGCGTCGGATCCACCCTCACATGCTGTATGTGTAACCTCGGGTAACTTTGGATGCAGTCTGTAGATACTTGGAGCTTCCGCAGCTTCGTCAGCAACATTGAGTGGTCTAGTGCGTCGAAACAGTAACTCAAACGGATCAAAGTAAGAACCGTTTCTTCTGACCGGTCCATGCCTGGTAATACCTGATCGGAGATCAATAGAAATGCCGGGCAAGTTGAGTGACTTTCCAGGATGCCATGTTGGCCGGAACGGATAACGTGATGGTGTGTGAGATATGAGGTGAGCTGATGAACCAGTTTCTCGACTGTGTGAGATATGAGGTGAGCTGATGATGAACCAGTTTCTCGACTGTGTGAGATATGAGGTGAGCTGATGATGAACCAGTTTCTCGACTGTTTCACAGATGGCTTAGCCGATGACTGTTCAAAAAATTGAACCTTCTGATGGGTCGTGCTGCTTGTAAATGGGAACAACAGTGGCGCCTTGCAGCTGGAGGGTATCGTTTCCGTGACAAAACTAATGTTACTAACCAAAACTAATCCCTAGCCTTGGAGGGGCCACTTGGACGTTAGACAACGTTAAACTTTGGATGTTTTAACAAACTTCCGACGAATAAGAATGTGCGTTAAGGGTGCATACGAAGACCTCTGGCGCGTGAACGCAAGATTGCAGCGCAAATTAGCCATGTCAGATGACGGCTGTCATTCTCTGGGTTATATTCATCCGGGTCTCTTTGAATAGACGTTGTTGGAGTTTGCAGATATGCTTTTCATACCCACGAGGTGCCTCAAGCTTCAGTATCATGGGGTCTGTGGGCCCCGAGTCCGGCGCAACGGGCGATACCCGGAACCGGCCGGTGGCCACGCGCGGCAGGCGTACCGCCAGCTCCGGCCCCGAGAAGTCCACCTGGCGGACGGTCGCGGTACTAATGCTGGCGAAGTACCGGTTAATGTCGTCCGCGTCCGCATCAGGTGTTGACCTGGTTGGCTGCTTAGATGAGACGACAGGCTGCACACTGCGCCACATCGAGCTCGGCCCACCCTCCCGTATACGCCTGTTAATCTCCTCCCGTGTGTCACGACGCACTGCCGACCTGACCTGCCGGCTTAGGCATGTTCAATAATCCGATTAATAGCAATGCGCACTGTCACCATACTACTGCAAAAGACATGCGCTCGCGTTCGTGGCGCATGCATTGCGTGGCAGTGCGCGTTATCACTACAACACAGCCCAATCAGAAACAAAAGCATGCGCTTCACATATTTTTATCTGTGATTTCTTCCGCACGAAAATGGAACGTGAGCATGTCAAGCATATCCAACACGTGACCAAAGTCTCCGGTTCATTGCGCGCTGTGTAAAATCCATCCCACGTCCAACGTCCATTGGAAGCAGAAAGTACTGAAACAGCACCAGTATGGCGACACAATTTACTCTGAGTTGAACTCTCATCCTTTTCTGTCTGGCTGGGATGCCACGGTGCTCCACGCCTGCCCGCCCGCTCACTCCGGGTTCCTCGTGTGTTCATGGTGTCTTGTACCGTATGTCGTGTTCTTCCAAGTCATATCCAGGAGGTCATCGTCTCGGGCAGCAGATGAGTCGACGCTGGTCACCGAAGTCGATATCCGGGTAGCAATGCGTGTTGGGCGCACAGTGGAAGTCCGCTGGGCAGTTGTCCGGGCAGCGGCCGCTGACCATGCTCAGGGTGGCCAGCAGCAGCATCAGCTGTGGCACCGAGCAACGGCCGGTACAGCGCGCCACACCGCCGCACACGAACACAGCAGCCGCGGCCGGTACGCGGTGCTGATGACAAGGGTGCACAACAGCTCGCGATGCTTGACGATGGCACCAGTGAGAATCAGACGTGGAGAGTGGCAATAGGACGTGACTTGTCGCTTCCCAGGGTCGTCGTGCAAGATCCTCTATAAATTACGTTCGCATGAACGTGGAAAGGGGTGATGGTGCTTAGCGGTGGAGTAACCAGGCGGGGAAGATAAGGGCTTGGACAGCGTAACGTGGCGCTCTGGTTTGGTGACAACAAATGCTAAAATTCTTAAAGCTAATTCTTAATCAACTTAGCCTAATTAAAAAACTTAATAAACTTTAACGTTAAACTTAAACCCAAATGCCGGCAGCTTTCTCCCATAATAAGGAACACGCCGGCTGTTTCTTTCGCGCATTTAGCTTAACAGGGTGCTGAGCGGAGGTTACTTTCTTGAGACGCTACGCTTAAATGGAGTATACCACCTTGTCCGCACTTTTCATCGATTGTTAGGTAGACGAGTCTCATTTGATTGGTAATGCCCGTTGTCTTCCAAGCCTCCTGAACTGCTCAGAAATTCAATTTGAAAGAGCGGTTCCTGAGGACCCTGGGTTCCTGGGTAGGGGATGCTATGGTAGACGATGCTCTATTGCTGGACTAATTGCTCATCACCATGAGAGTAAATCACAAGTTTAATTTGCCTTCCTTTTTACAGCGTACATTCGGTGATATTTGCAACACACTAATTCAACAAAATGATTATGTAATAAATGCCACGAAAGCTTGAGCACACTGTTTAAAGAAAACGATACGCAGGTGTCGTCAATGAAACGCTTTGTTTCAAGAAAAAGGTGCATAAGTATCAGGCTCTTATGCTGCGAATTCAACGAATTTTTATGCTACGACTTTCGCCTTATGGCGTTTAAGACAGTAATTCTTTTCGAAGCGAAGTTTGGCTTTCGGAAACGGAGCATCACAAGGTTTATAGTGATGCACTGATCCAAGCCCCAGCCAGCGCGCTTCAAAGTAGCCCCGTCCTATCCGCCCCACTGCGTCAGTTACAACCGTCCATTTGTGCTGACGTCATTCGTGCCAGTAGAGGTGCCAATTTTAAGCCTGCAGGCCCGCAATGTGCGGTTAAAACAGCTCAAAAATGATACATCTAACCCACAACAGCTGCCAACGGCCCTCTGCAGTTTCCGGCATCGTCAAAACGACGACGGTCGCGACAACCACAGACGTGGAGATGTCGGAAATACGCTCTCGGGCTACCACGAAAGGAGGAAGGTTAGTGCTGTTACAGAGCGTTGACGGCATAATTGCTTGACGGCTTGACGGCATGACGACAGGTTGGACTCGAAAGTAATTTAAATCCGTAGTTTTTAAATCTCATGGTGTTGCAGTGGCACTACCCAACACTTTTCTTGGAACTAAATGGTCCCTGGGGCTTCACCAGAGAATATTTTTGAAATAGCCCCAAAGGCAGGACTCCCCCTTCAACGTGGCGTAACCAGGGGAGGGGTTGGCGTGCCCAGCATAACCAATGTGCGACCGGGGAAGGAGTGGTTACAAGTGACAAAAAATTACGCTATTTCCGGACGTCTTCTGACCCCTCTTACCGTGATCAGAATATACTTGATAGAAACTCGGCGCGAAGAACTTACCCTTGCAAAGTCCTACACAGCATCTGTGCAATGGATGATCTCGAGCTTACCGAATATCTACACTGAAATCGAACATAGGAGAACCTCGCAGAATGATGGTTGCACTCACAATAGTGGAAATCGTCGACATCGAACGTTTGAAGCGCGTCACTGTGTTGGGGTAACGCCTGAAAATACACTGGTGAGTCAGGGCTGACTGCCACACACCTACATATTGGGCTACGTGCTTGCATCCTAATTTACTCTGATGGATGACAGCGTCATCCACATTTCCACTCATGATGCGTAAATTTCAAACGAATAACATTAGTTTTAAAATTACGATGACATCTCTTAAGGATGTTAAACCACCGCACATGACCAACGATGACAACTGTCATCTAATACAGCGTGTATTTCGCCTCCCTTCTTACACACCTGTTGGTTGTCGGCAAACTCACCCCAGTTTTATCGTTGCCCTCCTTCGGGGCACACGCCGCCTGAACCACGACTGGAGTGCAGAGAAGGGCGTGTCGAACTCACCGGTCACGAGCCAGGTGCTTGACGGTGGCGATTGCTGAGAGGATGGAGGCGCGCCGCGGTGTGCCGCTGAGCAGGTGCACCATAATCTTTATAGGCTTCGGACGGAAGGTGACCCCCAGTTGCGCTGCTGCTCTTCCCAGAATGAAACACTGCCCTTCCACTCCTGCGCTGCACATTCAGAGATGCCTCTGCAAACGCAGCAAATGCTTTCGTCTTGGTATCGAAATAGATGTTTAACAATCGACAATGCCCAATGGAATCGACCGCCTGCTTCGTTTGAAGAACTGACGTTGCGATAAAAAACGCCGCCGGCAGAGTTGGAGGGAGAACAACTAAAGTAAGATGACATAACATACACCACTGTTTGGCCTGCTTCCATGGCGTGCAGGCAACCCTCCCTCCCGAAGTCCCGTAACGACCGCCAGATGCCCCTGACAGCGAGATGAGATTCCAGACGTACAACGACCCATGCTTCTCTGTCATTCCGTGTCTAAATCTGAGGCTGCGGGAGGGCGGCTGGAAAAACCGGCCACCGTCCGCTGTTCCTGGAAGGCGCGGCCCACTCCGCGGCTGGGACACCTGCTTCTGGAAGGCACGCATCACGCCGCAGCTGAGTCTCCGGACTGCAGAAAAGTCGAACATATGGTTAAGACTGTAGTAATCCCTCATGCCTGCTAAGGCGAACGTTCTCCAGAGGAACTAGCAGCACTTGTACGGCCTGCTGTGTAATTGGAAATTGACTACATGCTGAAACAAGACGACAAAAGGCGGCATGCCATTGGTAGTTGTTGAGCAACGTGAATGAATAAATGTGATATCTTGTTTCTGTTGAATGGGGCTGGTTGGGCCAGACTAGGAAGCCATCGCCCCGTCAAAAGCAATTTCTGGTTCCTCACGCGATAGTTTCATAAAGCCTGTGCGTGTTAAAGATCTGGAAGGCACAGGTATTGAAAGTGAAAAGCAAGGCTGTGGCTGTGTGGTTGTGCATTGAATTCCTTAGTGAATTTGAGCACTACTTAAAGACCAAATACGAGCGGCTGGTCTAACACTTTTTTAGATTTGGGACCATACCACACTATCAGGCGACCTTCATGTGTAGTCTTTATCAGAGTTGATGTCAAAATTAGCTTTGATTTTAGTAACTAAGTTTAATTTAGAAACAGCTTTGTCAACTGAAGCGGAGTCTGTTCAAATTGGCCGCGAAATAACATCGTAAACTGAAATATAGAAACTTCATACAAGTTGTCACTAATCCTCTTGTCTTGCATTAAACCAAAAGGACAGAATTAAGTAGCTCTCAGGCTGTTTCTGGCATCCTTCGCGGGGTTGGCATGATGCAAGATGAAATGCCCGCAGCAAGGGCATAGTTTTGGAAAGCCATGGTCCTGTTGAGGTTTTTACTGATTAGGTGCTTAGCAATGAAAAACAACAGAACCTCCCCCAAAAATTCACCAACAAATGGTGTGTATACAAAATACTACACCAGCTTTTCCCCAGCTTCTTCTCAAAATTTGTGGGCTGATGTCCAAGTTGGGAGCCGAAGTCCCGCTCCCTCAACTGAGAAAGAAAATAACTAAAAACGAATTGCAAACACGTGGTCTGCAATTAGACCAAATATGTCATTCTTGTTGTGAGGTGTGAGGATGCTACAAAGGTGGGCGTACTGAACCGCTTCTGGAAGTTTATTAAGTGAAGCCGATGCAATGGCAGGAGAATGCAAATTTTGACTGTATTCAACACTACCGCAGCCAGGACCACATGAGTTCAAGTATATTTTAAGATGACGGTGTGTTTTAAATTTACACGTGTAAGTGAGAGCAATATGTTTTGTTTTTTCAAAAATTCAGAATGGTTTGCAGGGCGCTGAGCTGAATCAGTTGATCGGACAGCTACATACAGGTTAAGAACATCAATAGATGCTCAAATATGAACATAGTCACGGATACAGGACGCGTCATGTGTGCCGATGGCATCACAAACTGATCGCGCCGCGTCACGCTTCTCACTTTTCCCGACTGCATTCAATTTACGTTGCATTACTTTACCAGAAACGCTGAAAGTGCATAGCATATATTACATTTCGCAGACCACAGTAATTTCAATTGTGCAGCAGTTCTACAAGAGGATATGCAGTGCCAATAACCACTCAATAAGGCATTGGCCTGGTCACTACTACACCCGATGACAGTGTCACAGAGCGTCGCAGACGAGCACTACCGCAATTTGTCAGCGGCAGCGAAAATCGGCTACCGAACCTGAACTCTCCATTCACACAGCTACGCAGCCACCGGTGATAACTGGGCCAAGCCCATTCGCACCGGCGCTCATAACTGAGCGCCGGTGCGACCGCAGAAAAACGCGTTCTGTGAAACGACAATGATCTACGTACTGAAAATTGTTACTGGATTTTTCCCACGTTTGAGAGCCGGCAGTCCTTTTTTATTATTCAATTACAGCGAGGCCCTACAACAACAGGTTGGGCGGCGGGATAATACCAGAATATACTAGATTTCAACTTGGCACCGGCACAGCGATCACATATGCTGCTTTTTGTCTCTTATTGTTTAACTTGGCCACTTAAACAAAAATTGGTAAACGCACAATATCTGGCTAGGAATCGTAATCTGTTGTAGAAAATATGTAGATAAGCATTCTTGATAGCCTAAAACTTTGACTAAATCTGGTAACGTTGCAATTATGGCGTCCCGGCGACATAACAAAACTGCATGGTAATGTTGGCAGCATGCAGGGCAGCATAGGCATTTTCCGCCCGCAGGACAGCACTGCTTGGCAGTCCCAGTAAACATTTTCATAAGAGTAGCTACAATGACAGTATCCTGACGTTTAGGTAACCATCTTCCCTAAATTGCGTCCTGAAGTAGCCTATAAATAAACAAGATCCAAAAATTGTTTAACCCTGCACCGAGGTTACACTCAAATTTGTCATAGAAGGTCCATCTGTGTGTCCATACAGGTGTATCTGTTTATAGACATTTTCGTCAGGACATGTATGTGCAATTTCATGCCAGCAATAATATTCCAGACATAATGAGGTGAAACATACCATGGGCTTGGGGCACAGGCAAAGGCTGTCACGGGTTTTCCTTCACACAGGCAACCCCTCATGCCGTTGGAAAATGACTAGCTGCAACTATTGGTGCTGCATGATACATGGATGAATCACCCTGTCCCCAAATCCTGTTCGGTTGTGTGGAGCCAGTTGGCACTGGACGCCCACTAGAACTGTAATTTCCTTCTCATTTTCATATCTTGAAAGATGATATCCTGCCCTGCACAATCAGGTCTCAAGTCTGTCTCGGCCTATCAGCAGATATCGAAGAAATCACACAAAATGCTTCAGTTCGACACTTAAAGTTTTGGTTCCAGATGTGCAATTAGCCATGTTTGACACATCAAACCAACTTTGTAAGGCCTCACTGTGCCAGGATCATCTACATCACGAGTGACCTACAAATTCGCAATACATTCAGGCCCAAGTATCAGTATTTCTTGGCTTCTAAAGGTCAGGGTCATGGGGGGGGGGGAGATTCAGAAGAGTACAGCTTGGGGCTGATCTTCAACCTCCCTGAAAATTTCATGTTGTCCCTACGGACATTGACCGGACATAAATCATCAAAACTTTATTGGAGAATCCATGTTGTCCCTGCTCGTAATGTAAGCCCTTAGCGCGGCAATTTTTTCCTAGAATGACTTGCAGAAGCCCGGCTGTCGTTTTTTACCTGCATTTAAGTCTGCACGGATGCACTCAATACTGCGCATTTGGGACCATAACTGCACCGCCTCAAAATTGCACAACTTACGGTTAGGTGTGGTATCCTTATGATTTAGTAGTTGCTTCTCTTGTAAATTGTCCGCTGCGTCTGAACTTTGAAAACAATGAACAGTCCGGTATGCGACAAAGTGGCGACGGGATCGGATACACACAGGTTTGATTTAATTCGTTATTTGAAGTTATATATACCTAGATTAGCTACATAAACTACCAAGAAGTGTGCTGAGACATAGAGTATATTTTGAAAGTGATAATTTGACCAAGTTTTGGCAAATTGCACTGGAAAATCAAGATGAGTCTGGGCTTTGATGCGCACAAGCTTATCAGGAACGAGAAGACTTCAAGTTGTGGCTGGATAGCTTTGAACTTTATGTGTGTGCAGTTGGAGTGATTGGGACATACAGAAAGAGAGCGCTGTTGTTACATATTCTGGGGAAAGACATCCAACAAAAAGTAAAATCTCCGGGAAATGAACAAGGTGCGGAACAAAATCAGGATCGAGATGCTTATGAACGGACAAAACGTCAGCTGAAAGCACTTTTTGCTCCTAAAACAAGACCAGTCTTTGAAAGGAACATTTTCCACAGCATGAAAATGACAGATAAAGATGAGGATGTAGTCGAGTTTGTGGAAAGACTCAGAAAACAAGCTCAAAGGTGCCAGTTCGGAGAGGAAGTGGATAGCGTGATCCGAGACCTGGTCATCGCCAAGTGCCCTCATCCTGGACTGCAGATTCGCCTCCTGGAGGCGGATGACTTGAGCCTCACTCAAGTGGTGAAGATGTGGAAGTCGCATCGACAAGTAAGGGGGCAAGCTGCCAAACTTCAATGCATGGGACTCAATGACCAAAAAGAGGAGGTCAGAGAAGAGGTGGAAACCGAGGAGGTTAACCGGGTGAGCCATCATAGGCAAAAGTGGGTGCCATCTAAGAGGTACAACCACCAAGACGAAAGGCAGCACAATGTCCAGGATCAAAGGCAGCTGACCTGCTTCAGGTGTCAGGTGTGGCGAAGAGGGACACAAAGCGGCTCACTGTCAGGTCACAAGAGGTAAAACCTGCTCAAAGTGTGGGAGATATCACTTTGCGAAGGCCTGCAGGAGCAGGATGACCCAGGTGAGCCACAACAGAGGTAGTGGGTTCACACAGGTGAACACAGTCGATGAGGACTTTGTGTTCTCAACAACGCAAAGCATCCATCACAAAAATCTGGTGACTGTGTTCCTGAACAAGCAACCAGTCATGGTGATGGTGTACACAGG